TTGTTTGGGCTAAACTGTCACCCAGGCAGGCTGACCACAGCTTTGTCCCTTCCACCCAGTGTGGTCTGCCTAGAGCACACCAGCGAACAAATAACAGATGAATCAATCAGTGACCTGTGTCCCTGAAACAGACTGGGTTAGATGAAGGGTGGCTTCAATTATTTGTTATCCCTCCTATTGACAGGTGGGGTCATTTCCCTCCCCTTGAGTCTGGGCTGGACTTAGTGACTTTCTTTATTGATAGAATGCAGTAGAAGTGACGTTCTAGGACTTCCCAGGCTAGGTCACACAAAGCTTCGCAGATTCTGCCTGGGCTTCTTGGAAGGTTTGCTCTTAAAACCCTTAGCCACCATGTAAGAAGCCCAACTACCCTGACGGACAGACCATGTGGAAAGCTCCTGAAACAATATGGAGAGGCAAAGGAGCCCAGACGAGCCCAGCCTACCAACTGTCCCTGCAAAGGTGCCAGACATGTGAGTGAAGCCCTTCTGGACCTTCCAACCCGCCCATCCATCAGCTGAATACCATCAAGTGACTTCCATTGATACCACTTGGAAAAGGAGAATTACCCAGCTGAGCCCTACCCAAATTCCTGATCCACAAAGTCATAAGCAATGATAAAATGGTGGTCTTGGGATGCTTTGTTGCATGGCAATAGGTTACGGAAAAACAAACACTGTTGGATCCTGTGACTTAGGCTCAGAGACCGTACCAATCACGAATTAAGGCTTTTAGCAAGGATCCAATCACTGGACTTTGGAAGATGAAAACACCTGAGTGGCACAGATGAAACAAAGGAAAACATCTTTCCATAGGTCATCAGTCCTCGACGATATTTTCTAATGAAGTTGAGTCCTTTGCTTTCTGAACACTGACAGCATGGCACATGGGGCCAATGTACTGCTCAGTTAGGTGAGCACTAGGAACATTGGCGAACTGTCCCTTAGTGCAACGGGGGCCACTACAGTGTCCATGCTCTTAACCTGGTGACACAACCAGCACACTCCACACTGTTAAAAAGTGGCAGCTTGGCACAAAGACATGTGAATTCAAGCGATCAGATGCAAACTCAAAGAGAGATGACTATTTCTGAGAGCTGTGGGTTAATTTTTTGGCTGTGCTTGGAATGAAAAATGATCGTGAGTTTTTGGGGAAAAGTACCAGAGCAATCTGTTTTCTTGGCCGTGTGCTATGGAGCAATTTTACAGCACTCAAGTGCTTTACATATTTTCTAATCACTTGAGTCCAGAACTGATTATGGCTCTCAGCGTTCTCGCAGATTCACGCCACTGGAGCCCTCCGTGTCTTTCAGGCAGAGGTTTAACCTTGAAAGCGGGCGCCCGGATTCAGAAGGCACATCTTGCTACAGTGGGAACAGTTTAATTGCAGCATAGCGCCAAAAGTGCCAGGTGTTCCAGAAAATCACTGATGGCCCCACTCCGAGCCACAGACAACCCAGATTCACTTGCTCTTATCTCACACAGAAACGAAAGATAAAATAGCCCCTCCACTTGAAAGCTCACAAATAAGCCCTACCAGAAACTGAACTCCCCCAGACAAAAACCAGAGAACGTTAGGTGGTTGAGACCTATGTGTATGCAAGCACATGCACACGTACACACACACACACACACACACACTCACGCACATGCACACACATGCCCACACACATGCAGTTGTAAATGCATAGAACATCTTTGGAAGAATCCCTAAGAAACTGGTAACCATGGTTTCCTCTGGGGAGAACTGGGGGACAAGAAAGAATTGGGGTGTTGATGGAGGAGGAAAACCTTTTTCATCATAATCTTTTGAATATTTTTAATTTTTTAAAAATCACATGCTGTATTATTTTTCCAAAATCATGGAAGAGAATAATTTCAAACATATATATATATATACTTCAAACCTGTGTATAGTACTTATTATGTAATAGGCAGTGCTTTAAATGCATCATACACATATATATTCATTCTGTTAATCCTTACAACAACCCCATCATCATATATCATCCCCGATTTACGGCTGAGGAAACTGAGGTACAGAGAGGTTAAGTAACTTGTCCAAGGTCACACAGCTAGTAAATGCGGAGCTCAAATTTGGACTCAGAGAGCTGGCTCTGGAGTCTGTCCTCTTAACTGCTACACAATACTGCCTGGTCAAAAATAAACATCCCTAGTTGCCTGTTCATAATTGAGTCGGAGCAGAAAAAATTGTTCCTTTCTTCTCTCACATGGTTCTCCAGGGCAATGGAGCGCCGAAGATTGTGGCTCAAAGTAATGAAGATACAATTTTCCTGTAATCTTCAACCTGTGATGGGTTAGAGAGCTTTGATAATGTGTGCATATCAGGTCAATAACACGAGTTTGACCAAACTATTTACTCTTTCCGAGCCTTAGTAGTTGCTATGTGCCAGGTACTGCGCTAGGCCTTGGGGATAACTAGTGAACACAAGAGAGTCCCTGCCCTCGAGAGGCTTATGCATCCTGGGGGAGACAGGAAATAGACAAATCATCACATAACCTGTAATGTGAGCAATAAAGAAAAATCGAAAGGTGCACTGAGAGATGATGACTAGGGGCCCTGATTTATACTGGATGGTCAGGAAGTACTGTTTAGACAGAGCGCTGAAGAATGGGTAGGAGTAAAGCAGGGGAAAAATGGGGTAGAAGGAAAGTGTTCCAGGTAGAGGGAACAGCCTATGCAAAACCCCTGAAACAGGGAAGAGGTGTCTGCTTGAAGGACAGAAAGACCTATATGGCGCAACCAACTGAGACTGGAACAAGAGGCAGGAGTCAGATCATGCAGACCACAGTAAGGATTTCACCACTGTCCTGAGAGCAACGGAAATCACAGAAGTTTCTCAATAGAAGTGACATAATCTGATTTACTTTTTAAGATGATTACTTGGGATGCTGTGTGGAAAATATGGATAGAGGGGACAATGAAGGGAGTGGAAGACCAGTTAGGAAGCTACTGCAGGAATCCAAACAAGCGAGGGTGACAGCTTGGAATAAAGTGCTGGCAGTGGAGACTGAGATACATTGGAGATCTGTTTTGGTGGCAGAATGTTCTATGAAGTGCGGATAATGTAAGCTATGAAGTATTACTGTGAAGCATAAGTTCACGGGTATGAAAATGCTCTGTAAACTATAAAGTACTAAACAAGTAACTATTACTATAGATGAAGACACCAAGTATTTAGAGAGACCCTGGTGGCATAGTGGGTAAGAGCTCAGCTGCTAACCAAAAGGTCAACAGTTGAAATCCACCAGCCACTCCTTGGAAACACTATAGGGCAGTTCTACCCTATAGGGTTGCTATGAGTTGGAACCAACTTGACGGTACCCAACAACAACAACAACAAACTTCCCAAAGTCACACAACCTCTTAGTGATTGGGAGGAAGGAGTTAAAGCAGCTGGCCTTTGATCTTCACTCCTTCTCTGAGGTTATACTGGGGAAAGAAAAGAAGGCTAGTGACCAGGTCTCATCTCCTTGTCAAATGGACCTCTGAATAAATAAAACCAAACCTGTTGCCATTGAGTTGATTCTGACTCATAGTGACCCTACAGGACAGAGCAGAACAGCCCCATAGGGTTTCCAAGGCTGTAGTCTTTACAGAAGAAGACTGTCACGTCTTTCTCCTGTGGAATGGCTGGTAGGTTCGAACTGCAGACCTTTTGGTTAGCAGCCAAGTGCTTTAACCACTGCATCACCGGGGCTCCTTTCCAGATAAATAGGGTAAGGATATTTAGGACGTCCTTGGCTAAGGATTACCTCTCGTAAATTGAACCCAAGATCTACGGAGCAGGGCTCCTTGTAGAATATCACATCGGCTATACAACTCTCTAGGAGCATAAAACGGAGATGTCTGATAACTGAAATGCTTCTCTGTGAAAGGGGTACCTGTGGCCTTCACCTATTATTCCTGGTGAGGTGTGTGTCCAATAAGGGAAGACAGAACCTAGGGAGCCACCATTCAGGTCACAGATTTTCCTTTGCTTCATCTGAGCCTACTGATTGCCTGTACTCTTGAAATTATTTAGTAAACCTTAATATTTACAGGATATATTTGACAATCTGATCCTGTCTGTTCATTCAGTGACCTGTTCCCAGGCCATGCTATTCAATAATCCCTACTACCTCTGTGTAAAATCAGGCCCAGTTATAAGGTCCAGGGATGAGGGAGAACAGAGTTGGTTATATTTGAGCCTCTTGCTAGTGGCATAACTTGACACATCAGATATCTATTTGAAAAATTAATTTTTAAAGATAGTTATACAATTTAAGAAACATGACGAGTTTGGATTCACTGTGAATGTATAAAACTGGGAGAATACGATTCTGGATTCTCTGAGATGGTTCAGATGATTACTCTTGGAGATAGACCAGGCTTCTTGGGTCTCCAATGACTGATCCTAAGCAGTTATCTTACAGAAGACTCTTTAGATGCTTAGATGTTCACCTACCATTTTCCAGTTGCCAAAGAATTAATACAATATCAAAGTTTGGCAGTGAACATTTCTTCTGAAAATTAACTACTCTTGGCCCTACTAAGTCATGGAGTTCTTTTTTTTCCTCCCTTTTTTTTTTCTTTTTAAAGGTGCACAATTCAGCTCGAACTACATTTTGAAACTCAGGAAGGAAGAAGAAAGAACTGTTACTATAGCTGGAAGGGAAGGAAACCTTTTTGTCTTCTCTGCCTCATGACAAACTCTATTTATGCTGGAGGCATCAAAAGACAGAATGTACACACAGATCTCCTATCATGAATCCATGAAGAACCCAGATCCTATTCCTGGTTCAAAAAACACTGATGGTGAACCGAACCATTGTAGACAAAGCATGTCAGGGGGCCAGAGCTTCCTCTGGCAGACGCTAAACAAGAGGGCACTGGGAGGCTTGAGTGATGGAAGCATAAACGTGTGTTATGTGGAGAGAAGCCCTTTTTACAACCTCTTTCCCTCCAAACAAGCTCCCAAACCCAAGCCTGAATTTTACCTTCAGCGAGTGGGTCCAGGGTGTGGATCATGAGCTGGAAGATGCTATTCCTCATGAGACTGTTGTGGAGTGAGGCAGAGCTTCCACCTCGCTGGAGACGTGGCTTAGCCTGAGCAAAGAAAACAGACAGAGATGCTGTTAGTTCTCAGAAATGAGAGGGGAGTGCATTCTAGATAAGATCCTGACCTTGTCTGGTGGTCACTCATTTCTGTCACACGATCACACACTAGTGAACCAAAAAGTTTTTCAAAGTACTTTCTAAACCTCATGGAGGAATGGTGTTCTCCCAGTCTCTCCTACTAAATGAATTAATTGCTACCATATTTTTTTAGAGCTTAGCAAATGCCAGGCAACATGCAGTATGATGTATATTCATTAGTTTATCTCATTCTCAAGATGAATCTTATAAAGTAGATACTGTTATTATTCCCTTTAGAAAGATAAGAAAACTTAGTCTCAGAAAAGTGAAATAAAGGGTCCAAGTCACACAGGCAAAAAGTAGAGGATAGTGAATGGGTTTCAGGTCTGCTTCACTCAAAGACTGTTATCTAAACTAGTGGGTGGTCCCTAAAATTTGTAGATTCTATACCCTACCAGCAAAATGTTTTGAGTATGTGTGCATATCCATATCTTTATATCTAAATCTATAGATACAGATATATATACACACATACTATTATGAGCACATATATATTATAAAATATTGCAAAAATAGAAATTAAGAAGAATGATATAGAAAGTAAATTACAGAGGTACTAATATCTTCTCCTTGCTCCCTAGAGGAGCATCTTGTACATCCCTGGGGTATTTCATCTCCATGCTGCGGACCACAGCTCTAATGCAGAAACCCTACGGTCTATGCAGTGGGATTTGAAGAGGCAGAACTCTCTATCATGAATCCATTGAGAACCTGCTTGACTTCAAATGGGGGCTTCCTTTTGCATCAACTCCTACTAGTTGTGATCTTTTGGCCCAATAATGGAACCAATAGGTGAAAGAAGAAGAATGACTTCTAGAGATGTGGTTACCAACAAACTCTTTTTCTTTTTTTCTTCAAAAGCAGAGTCTTAAAAAAAATAAAATAAAAAACCCAAACCTTCTGGGTTTTGATAGACTTTTATCCTGAATAGGAACTTCTTTCCCCCGTGTAGTTGATTTTGTGCTATTTTCTCTGTTCATCACTGGGAAAGATGCTTCAGGGGCTGTCAAGCTTTATAGATGGGCAGATTTAAGGAGGGAGGAGTAATATAATGTAAGGGAATTAATTTCTTATTGAACTTTTCATCCAAAATGCTGACATGAAATTTTTCTGGGGTCAGGTAAAAATAAAATACTCTTTCCCACTAAGTCTTCCATCTCTCTACACTACTGGGATTTCCAAAATATTCTATCATGCTCCAGTCTCATAAGGGGGCTTCCCAAGAAAAGTGCCCTAAAAGACTCCATGGGCAAATACATTTGGGAGGTGCTACATCCTAGACCAACCCACCTTTGAAGATTCAGCATACCTATTAGATCAGGAAGTCTAACATAAACGAAATCTGGTTAACTTGATTAAATTGGGCAGTGCTTTCAAACTAGTGTCCATAGGTCTCTTATTTTGTAGAGCGTTAACAATCACGTCCTACATGTTTGGAGACAAACATGAAACCCATAGTGAGCTTGGAGTTTGGGTAAAATCTCATATGAGATACATGGAGAAATCTGACTTTCTTAGTATGATTTTGTTATAGTTGTTATTTTGCTAGAAATCATATTCCTAATACAAAAGGCGTTGGAGAAGAATCAGAGGGGATTAATGGTGTTTCAGTGGTGAACCAGATGAGGAGCTCCTCAAAGGAAGGGACTGGGTCTGCACCTCTAGTCTGATACTGAATCTGGCATATCCTACGGGCTCTCAAAGAATGTCATGAGTCCTTGCTCTGAGCATTACAGCAGAAACTACAGGTCATATGTGTATCTTCACTACTAGTCCTTTGAACCTTAAATTTTCTAACATTTTAATGCATTATGTTACTTGGTTATAGGGGATTCAGATGTTTGGGGTTCAAAGGATTTTAAGGGTAAGTTTAGGAGACTTGAGTAGAGCTGAAATGTAACTGTAATTTGATGGCTGAACACAAGAACTCTGAAAGCCATTTCCTTGCCATGCTGCACAATATAAAGTGCAATGTATTAATTGGCTAGGAACTGAACAATGTGTTTGCTGTTAATAATTTGTCATAATCATCGTTACTATGGTCCTTATTCTGGGAAACTGGAAGAACTCTCCTTGAAGATCTTTATTAGAATAGAGTTATATTTAGTTTATTAAGAAAATGTTCTGCATCCTATTTGGGTGAGTGGCGTCTAGGGTCTTAAAAGCTAGCAAGCGGCCATCTAAGATGCATCAGTTGGTCCCAACCCACCTGGAGCAAAGGAGAATGAAGAACACCAAAGACACAAGGAAGATATTAGCCCAAGAGACAGAAAGGACCACATAAACCAGAGACTCCATCAGCCTGAGACCAGAAGAACTAGATGATGCCTGGCTACCACCAATGACTGCCCTGACAGGGAACACAACAGAGAGTGCCTGATGGAGTAGGAGAAAAGTGGGGTACAGAACTCAAATTCATGTAAAAAGACCAGACTTAATGGTTTGATGAGACTGGAGGGAGCCCAGAAGACACGGCCCCCAGCCTCTCTATTAGCCCAGAACTGAAACCATTTCTGAAGTCAACTCTTCAGACATAGATTAGACTGGACTATGGGACATAAAATGATACCGGTGAAGAGAGTGCTTCTTAGCTCAAGCAGATACATGAGACTAAATGGGTAGCTCCTGTCCAGAGGCGAGATGAGAAGGCAGAGAGGGTCAGGAGCTGGTTGAATGGACATGGGAAATCTGGGGTGGAAAGGAGGAGTGTACTGTCACATTATTAGAGAGAGCAACTAGGGTCACATAACAACGTGTGTATAAATTTTTGTATGAGAAACTAACTTGAATTGTAAACTTTCACTTAAAGCACAATTAAAAAAAAAGGGATAGGGTTATATCTATAGAAGAACTTAAAATAGTCATTTGGGCATTATGTATATATTGAATATATAGTTTTCATGCAGTATTTCTTTTGCTGGGACCAAAAGAAATTTTTAACCAACAAGTATGCACATGCACATACATGGAGAAAACAGATATCATGCGTTAGATCCCACAATGGCCCCAAATCAAATCTCAGCGCAGCATCCCTTGGAATGCAATTTGGAAATATCTCACTCTTTGAATTCCTATAAAAGTTCATGTCAAATAGAAAGGAGAATTCAAACTTTTGGAAACCGAGTCCCAGAAATAATTTGTCAGCAAATGTCAGAATTCAGTCACCACTGATTGTAGGACAGAGAATGCACACACGCCAGCAGGTTAAACCACTTAAATATTCCAAGGGAGAGGATGATTTATTGAGCACATGAGCCCTCTCCTCCCCCCACCCTCCCTACTCTCCGCAGGCACACAAACAGGGACAGACAGGGCCACTGCTTCCTACCGGTAGAGCCTGCTCATCCTTGTCCCTGGCTGTAGATGACTGCATAAGAGGGAGAGGCAAAAACAAAAGACAAATAAATAAATAAATGGTGAATCACATATGAGTTTTACATTTAATAACAAGCATCAGTATACGGGAAGATTTGGTTGTTTCTGCTCCTGGATAGGTTAAGCAAACACGGGGGACCAAGCACATATGCTTCTAGCCAACATACAGTAACTTATTTAGACACATGATATATTCTCCTGAAAGGTCGTAGTTGAATGACCAACCTAAATGTTCAGCAATAGAAGACAGTTAAATGAATTATGGCACAGCCGTAGAGTGGAATACCATGTAGTCATTAAAAAGAATGAGGTAAGTCCACACGTACTGGCATGGAAACATATCTAAGATGTATTGTTAAGTGGGAAAAAAAGCATTTTAAAACCTTTATTTATTATTATCTCATTTTATAAACAAAAATAAATTAATGACACTTTAGTATTTGCAAATAAAAAAAAGTCTACAAGAATTATACCAAACTGCTTTTGTGGTTATTGTTGGGGAATGGGATTACAAGAAAGTGTCACTTTCCATGTCTTTTTGGAAGGATTTAGCATTCATAGCCTCACGGGTGGTGAATAAAATAAAGCCTGAAGAAGCTGGGCCTTTTAGTAAACTAGGATTATCATACAGAAAAATCAGATAACCCAATTTGCTTCTTGCTCCCACCACCTCAAAGGAAATGGAAATCCATGTCAGGTTGGGAAAAGCTGACTAGAACATAAGGGCACACGAAGGCACTGACCGTGGATTGGGACAGAACACAACTCAGATAAGGGAATACTGGGATTCTACCAGCGTGACCCAACTGGAGGGCTCTGCTTCCCCAGCTCAGTACGAAGTCTGTTTCTTCACTGGAACCAGGTACCACCTCGTGAGCTTCCAACTACGAACAAGTGCCTTGGTAAGCCCATTCCCCGTATGCATGTTCTCATGCTCGGACCACCACCTTTCCCACTACAGATGCATACAGCAAGAATAAACTGGAACCTTCCTTCCTGTCTTGCCATCTGGTCACTCCCACTAGAATCTAAGCAGACCTGCATCTTCATGAATAATCACACACGTGGAGAAGAGTAGACAGAGGAAGAGCCGTTTTAAAACCTTCACTTCAGCTCTAGGTTGTCTTTTTTAGGTCCTACCATACACATCATAGAAAACACATTAAAATGCCCCATAGCTCACAACATATATAAAACCAAAAATATCAAACTCGTTGCCATTAAGTCGATTTTGACTGATAAGGACCCTACAGGACAGAGCAGAAATACTCCATAGGGTTTCTGAGGCTGTAATCTTTACAGAAGCAGATTGCCACATCTTCCTCCCTTGGAGGGGTTGGTGGGTTTGAACTACTGATCTTCTGGTTAGCAGCCGAGCCTTTTAACCACTGCGCCACCATGGCTCCTAACATCAAATACAGATGTTTTAAATAACAAAATGAAAAGGATTCTTATAATCTTACACTTGAAATTATTTAGCTATATGCAATTCATTTGATTATATAATTTATGATTGTGACTGGTTTCTCAGCAACCACCATGCAGTCTCAGAAATCTTAGAAAGTGAGAAATTGAATCCACACCTAGTTTTCACATGTAAAGTAATTTTAAAAAATACTAAATATAATACTTAATGAAACTGATATTAAATATTTTGCAGATATTCAATTAAACATTTAATAATTTTGATTTTTATAGATACCTTTTGGAGTCTCTGGGTGGTGCAAATGGTTAATGTGCTCAGCTACTAACTGAAAGCCTGGAGGTTCGAGTCCGCCTAGAGGCACCTTGGAAGAAAGGCCTGATGATCTACTTCTGAAACATCAGCCACTGAAAACCCTATGGAGCACAGTTCTATTCTGACACATGTGGGGTCACCATGGGTTAGAATTGACTTAATGGTAATTGGTTAAGTTTTTTATTTTTTATTTTGGAGTCAATGTTCTTGTGTGCCATCAAGTCGATTTTAACTCATAGTGATCCTATAGGACAGAGTAGAACTGCCCCATAGAGTTTCCTAGGCTATAATCTTCCTGGGAGCGGATCGCCAGGTCCTTTCTTCCTCGGAGCAGGTGGCGGATTCCAACTGCCGACTTTTAGGTTAACAGCTGAGCACTTAACCACTGTGCCACCAGGGCTCTTTTTTGGAGTCAATACCAATGTATAATTTTTCTTCCGGTTTCAAACATTTTTGCAGGTCCTTGAAGAACCTGTAAGTCTCAGGCACTGATGGGAGGGTCCTGAGTTGGTTATTTCTGAGCACTGTCATTGGGGAGCACTAAATTTGCCCTAACCTTCTGATTTGGGAGCTTTTTCTCAGTGACTTCCCTAAAAACACTAATAAGAAAACATTCCTGATGCCCCAGTTCACAAAAACGTGCTCAGGGAACTGGAATGGACTCGAAATTGTCTTTTGATTTCCTTTTTTGTTCAGAAAGGCACTGTATGATCCTACTCCTCTCTGGCAGGTCCTTTCATCTTCTCTCCCTCCACATCAGACAGCTCAACAAATGGCCCCACATTCTACAGAACAATCCCTCAGGGAAATTATCTAGTGCAGCGAGAACAGCCTTTGGACATACATGCAGATTAAATGTCAGAGCACGCCTTCTCAGTTAGCAAATTTACACCTTGTGGCTAAAAAGGAGACAAATAATTATGAGCCGGTATTGATACCACGGTGACCCATTTTTGATCTGCCACAGAACATGAAGGGACAGGACGAAACAGAGGAGAGAAAAAGGTGGCCCTCATAATGCAAAAACATCACCAACTGAGAGTTTGCCTTCTTAAAAATATATTTAAAACAATCACTTAAGGAAGGAATAAAAAAAAATTCAAACCTGTTTTTTGGTCTGAAAGGAAGAACAAATATCTACCCCATGGATTCCCTTTTCCCTCATAAGAGAGCAGGATTATAAGACAAAATAAGTGGAATGAAAATGCCTTATGCATAGACTCTATTCTTCTTTGCATAGAGTACAGACAAGGGCCTGAAATCCTTTACAAAATTTCCCACTGTTTAATGTCAGCTGAATTTGACATCATTAATTTTCTTTCGAGTGTGATTTGGAGACATGAATATACATCAGGCCATAACATGTAAATTTAGATATACGCACACATGGCAGCGGAGGCCATTAAAAAACCCCTTCACTTTCCTTTTATGCAGCCGTGTTGCAAAAGGGATGAGAAGTGTGAGACAGGATGGTAATTGCCCATTTTCAGGGACCTGCCCATGTCTACCGCTAATTCCTGATGCTCACCTGACTTAACCTCTCTTTAACTGCATCCTGAAGCAGCCTCTCTGTCCTGGCAATTTGCTGCTGATTATGTTAGAAATTCAATTTTAAAGGGCTTTTAGTTACACTGAGGGTGGGAGGGCACTGACGGCTCAGTGGTAGAATTCTCGCCTTCTTTGCGGGAGACCCAGGTTTGATTCCTGGCCAATGCACCTCATGCACAACCGCACCTGTCTGTCAGTGGGGGCTTGCGAATTGCTATGATGCTGAACGGGTTTCAAGGAAGCTTCCAGACTAAGACAAACTAGGAAGAAAGGCCTGGCACTCTACTTCCAGAAATCAGCCAATGAAAACCCTATGGATCACAACGTCCTTTCTGCCACCAAACATGGGGTTGGTGCAGGGCTGGGCAGGGTTTTGTTCTGATGTGCGTGGGATCGCCACGAGTCGGGGGCTGACTTGAAGGCAGCCAGCAACAACAATTACACTGAAGCAACTAGAGCAGACTTAAATCAATGATCTGAAGGTGCGTAGCTATGCTCATAGCTCTGCAGTGCTTCTAGCCACTGGATTATTTAGTCACACGGTGGTTAGGGAGCTGTCTGGGTATTGGGTTTGCTCTCAGTGTTGCTGATTTATTTTCAGGGTCACTGAAAGTCTGCCAAGTTCATTCTAACCCATCAGATGTTACAGAAGACAACTTCTTGAAAACAAAAACAACAGAACAAATGGGACCTTATGGATTAATCTTGGCATTCTTATTATCCACTTTGCTTTTCAAATCCCTTTAATTTTAAACACACCAAAAATACCATCCAGGCGTGAACTGATTTGAAAGTCCAATTCCTGATGGTCAACTCAAAGGCTGTGCCAGCTCTAGAAAACATTTGTTAAGCCAACCTGTAGCAAAAACAGCAATTCTTGAGGACTACTTAGGAGAATTCAGGAAAAGGCTGGCGCTCAGGCGTGCCAGCGCAGATGCTCCTTCCATTCATGAAAGTGGGACATTTACAAGGCCAGGATGTAAGCAATACATTCTTTATTTAAAAGAAAGTATTCTGTAATTCAAACCTTTCTTTAGTTTAACCTCGTCCCTCCCTGATTACTCTAAGTTAGCCACGTGGTGACTGCACTTAAATTGAGCAACTGGAAGGATGTCATTAATACCTGTTGTTCTCCCTGGTAGACCCTGGTTCTAGATGGAGATTTTGGTACTTACTTGATAGGTGTTTTGAAAGTGCCCCATTTACTTCAGATAATAAAACACAGCTCATTTAGAAAGCATTTTTAACTCTATAAATCACTCATAAGTCCTTAAATCGCCTCTTTTGCTTTGACCCAATGGGGCAATTCTACTCTGTTATATAGGGTCGCTTTGTGTCAGAAACTGGACAGCAATGAGTTTGCTTGGTTTTGGTATATTTATATATCTATGTGTATATATACACATACACATACACACACACACATATACACATACACACATACATATATATACACACACACACATACACATACACACACACACATACACACACACACACACACGCATATATATATAGTGAGGGGCCCTCGTGGTGCAGTGGCTAAGAACTCAGCTGCTAACCAAAAGGCTGGCAGTTCGAATCTACCAGCTGCTCCTTGGAAACCCTATGGGGCAGTTCTGCTCTGTCTTATAGGGTTGTTGTAAGTTGGAATTGACTCGACAGCAATGGGTGTATATAGTGAATGAATGTCTGGCTATCTATCT